GGTCAAGAGATCAAGACCATACTCGTCAACATGGTGAAACCCCGTCTCTACTAAAAATACAAAAAATTAGCGGGACACGGTGGCGGCGTGCCTGTAATCCCAGCTACTCAGGAGGCTGAGGAAGGAGAATTGCGTGAATCCAGGAGGCAGAGGTTGTGGTGAGCCGAGATTGCGCCACTGCACTCCAGCCTGGGTAACAAGAGCGAAACTCCATCTCAAAAAAAAAAAAAAAAAAAAAAAGAATAATAATTAACTGTAATGATTGTACTTTAAAAGTTTTTAATTTTTAAATTTTTTATACTTTTAAGTTCTGCAGCTGTAATCATTTTAAACTCAAACATTTGTATATCATGATCAATAACAACCACATTTTATTCAGTCCATCACTAATTGTCATTGCACATCTATTATTCACTTCATAAATATCAAAGAGCATGGTTTCATTTCTTCCTTTGTACCATTTGACAAGCCCAGGTGATATTTGAAAGAGGCAATTGGCTAATTGCCTCAAGTATAGCGGAAAAACAAACTAAAGTGCAACACAGGTAGTAAAATCTGAATGAAATATAAATGGGAGTTGTAGAAACAACAAGTGATTGTAGGGATATAATATTCCCAACATCCCGGCTAGATATGCAGCCAAAGAAACTTAGTAAACTTAATTAAAATAAACGAGAAAAAATGGCTGTTCCTAAAAAAGGTAGAAATATTGCAGAGAATATGACACCAGGAATAAAACTCATGTAGAAATCCTGGATTTATTTCATGACATTAAAAGTGAACTGATGAAGCATTGATATTTGCCAAGTATGTGTGACATTTTGACAAGTTAAGGAAGATAATTAACTTTTGGGAGCTGCATGGCAAAATGCAAGCACTGTTTGGCCTACTATTAGTATAATTTTTTGAAACAAAACATTTAATACTCAATGCTTTTAATATTTTGTGTTAATGTACTATATAAAATACTGTTTTCATTTCTCTACTCTACAAATTGTGATTAATTTATAATGTTAAAAACAAGAAATTGTAACAATCATAGAGCAGCTGTAATTTTTCTCATTATCTAGCGCTGTCTTCAGTTTTACCTTGTGGTCATCTTGGTAATCATGTACCAATTTGTGCTTTTTGTGGTTTTGTACTACCATGCAAAGCAAGACCAGTCTGCATTATCAATACTAGTTTACAGATTGTTGAGACCGCTTACACATGGCCACCGTGCCAGAGGGTGGAGGTGGAATTTGGATGCAGGCAGTTTAACTCCAGAACATGTGGCTGTATACTTCCTTATTGCATTAGCTTGCATTCGGTGTGGTGAGGACTCAGAGGAACAAATAAAATCCAATTAAGTTTCAAAATGCCTGTTTATTCCACACCTGATAGTCTCCAGTCCTGTCAAATTTGTAATAGAACATAATTTAGACTTATTCCTGTCTCGAATATAAAGAAAAAACAAGAATAAAATGGATACACTTTTTCTTTATCTTATTCTGTTGCCCAGGCTGGACTACAGTGGTGCAATAATGGCTCACTACAACATTCACCTGCTGGGCTCAAGTGATTATCATCCCTCAGACTCCTGAATAGCTGGAATTACTAACATGCACCAGCACCGCAGCTGGCTATCTTTTGTATTTTTAGTAGAAACAGAGTCTCACCATGTTGTCTAAATTGGTCCCAAACTTCTCATGTCAAGTGATCTGCCTGTCTCAGCCTCGCGAAGTGCTGGGATTACGGGTGTGTGCCACTATGCCTGGCCAAAATGCACATTTGAAAAAGGCTGGGAAGGCAGAAAGCAAATGAGGAGCAGAGTCAAAACTTGCGTGGGGGCAGATAAGAGAAGTATGGGTACTCCCATTTACAAATCCATCAGGTCTCATGAGACCATCACAAAAATAGCATGGGAAAGAACTGACCCCATGATTCAATTACCTCCTGGTCGCTTCCAGATTCGAGATGAGATTTCTGTGGGGTCACAGCCAAAAATCTATCACCCAAAACAGTATAAATTAAGCTTATCCAATTTTGGGAAGGGTAAAAGTCATCAAATGTTTGTCATATAAGCTTATTAAAAAGCCTCCATTTTAATATTTTGTATGTCAAGTCAAACAATGTTAAATGTAATTAAAAATTTTTTTGAGACAAAGTTTACTTTGTCACCCAGGCTGGAGTGCAGTGGTGGTGATCCTGACTCATTGCAACCTCCAGCTCTCAGGTTCAAGTGATTCTCTTGACTCAGCCTCTCGAGTTGCTGAGGTATCACTATGTTGGCCAGGCTGGTCTCAAACTCCTGAAGTCAACTTCTGGAGTCAAGTGGCCCTCCTGCATTGCCTGCTAAAGTGCTGGGATTACAGGCATGAGCCACCACACCAGGCTGAAATGTGCTTAAAACTATATAAAATACAAATAAAAGTATCATCAATATATCTAGCCAGGCATTTTATTCAAAATGTGTTTACTTATGTGTGAATGATGACAGCATATACCTAATTAGTATTTACTTTACATGCTTGAGTAAACTACCAAGCACAGGTTTTGTAAGCAAATGTATTAGTAACTACGGGTACTAACATATGGGAAAAAAAGGAGTGGGGGGCATTCCTGAAAATGCAAGACTTTCCATCACTCATAATTCATAAGCTCCCGAAGAACTTTTTAGGCTCAATATGAAAATGTTGGCAGGGCGCAGTGGTTCACGCCTATAATCCCAGCACTTTGGGGAGGCCGAGGCAGGTGGATCAGGAGGTCAAGAAATAGAGACCATCCTGGTCAACAAGGTGAAACCCAGTCTCTACTAAAAACACAAAAATTAGCTAGGCATGGGGGTGTGCGCCTGTAGTCCCAGCTACTCAGGAGGCTGAGGCAGAACTGCTTGAACCCAGGAGGTGGAGGTTGCGGTGAGCCGAGATCGCACCATTGCACTCCAGCCTGGGTAACAAGAGCGAAACTCCATCTCAAAAAAAAAAAAAAAAAAATTGTAACACTACTTATGCAGTTCCAATATTTTTACCAAAACGTGCAAAGTGGATTAAGTACCACAAATAAGCCACAGTTGTTACAGAAAGCTGATAAGAAAAAGAAAAAAGTGTTTGAGTGGTTTTACTCCCATTAAGAATTGTATCACTTATGCAGAGTTCCAACGTTTTTACCAAAATGTGCCGAGTAGTTTAAGTACTATAAATTAAGCCATATACTTTTATGTACATTAGGCTAAAAATGTCAGGAAGTTTTGATAATCAGTGAACACAAGTTAAGTCAACTCTTCAAAAATATTAAAAAATAGTCTTCAGCTACATTTCACCTAGATAAATGTTTACAAGTGACACAGAATAAGAATCATAAACCAAAACTGTAAGCTTTTATTTCTTAGATTTAATAATGTACCAACATTCTGGCCTTAATTTTGACTCCAGAGTTTTCACATGAAAGAACTAAAATGACCTTTTTCTTTTCTTTTCTTTTTTTTTTTTTTTTTTTTTTGACAGTCTTGCTCCTCCGTCACCAGGCTGGAGTGCAGCGGTGTGATCTCGGCTCACTATAACCTCCACCTCCTGGGTTCAAACAATTCTCCTGCCTCAGCCACCTGAGTAGCTTGGACTACAGGCATGGACCACCATGCCCAGCTAATTTTTGTATTTTAGTAGAGATGGGGTTTCATTATGTTGGCCAGGATGGTCTCAATCTCAAACTCATGGATCAGCCCACCTCAGCCTCCCAAACTGCTGGGATTACAGGTGAGAGCCATCTTGCCTGACCAATGAAGTTTTACTCTCTCGTATACATTTGTATTAGTGAAACCATGTGATTTCATATTCCCTTTATATTTTCATTACTTATGAATTATCGAGAAAAAATATATTCCACAACTCTATTAAAGTTATGTAAGACAGTACCCAGAGAACTCTAACTAGTCCAGCCTTTATTTTCACTTTATAGCTTTAAGAACAAAACTTAAAAAGGGAAAATTATAATATAAAATCTTACTAGTATGTATATTTAAAAAAAATCAGTACCCACAATGAAATACACTAACACCACAGTTATGTCAAAATACAATGATCATTACTCTTTCTTATTACGTTAATTGATGTAGCTCTTCCATTCAGATTTTGAGAGGAAGTCCTGCTCTGCCACCCAGGTTGGAGTTCAGTGGCAAGATCTCGGTTCACTGCATCCTCCACCTTCCAGGTTCAAGCAATTCTGCTGCCTTAGCCTCCCGAGTAGCTGGGATACTGGCATGCACAAAGATGACCCACTACTTTTTGTATTTTTAGTAAAGATAGGGTTTCGCCATGTTGATTAGGCTGGTGTTGAACACCTGAACTTAGGGGATCTGCCCACCTTGGCCTTACACAGTGCTAGGATTACAGGTGTGAGCTACCACACTCAGCCTGAAATTATCTTCCCCTAACAGTATTGTTGCCTCCTCCTCTGGCAGTTTAGGGACAATGTGAGAAAAGCTGTTTATACAATGTACTATAAAATCAGTTTTTCATTATACATTGCAATTTTCTTGTTCATGAAGACAAAGACTGTGGGTTGCAATGAATTACTTTTGAAAACAAAATGGCATAGCAGTATTTCCAGTGTTAAGACAATTGGTTGCCACCTAGGGTTCAATTTCTGCAACGGTTACACATTTTAAATTGCTACTCAAAGTTGCTACAATTTAAAAACTGCACGTTGGAAATGCTTCTTTTTTCCCTTAACAGGAGGCACACATGACAAAAAGAATTTATAAGGCCTCAATGTTAGTATAAAAATACATATGGCTAGATTAATATAAAAATTATGTCCACTTTTTTCTGATTCCAAATGTAGATTTGTCTTATTTAAATTCTGTCAGAAACTTTAGGAGAACATCTGAGTAGCTGAAACATACACAAAGACTGTAGAGTAAATAGATTAACGGGAAGTAGGACTTATTATAACTTACAATGATTACAAAGCAGAAATGTATGCAAAATATCAAATTACTTGAAGTAAAGTTATCACACAGTAGCAAAGGCATTTATTTGTTTTTATAGCAAATATGATCTTTTATCTGTAAGTTTACATCAAAACAATAAAGTATTAACATTTAAGATAATTCGGTGTCATCAGCTTTTACAGAAATAAATACTTTAAAACAATGAAGACAGATCAGTTTGCTTTAACAAACTATAAACTAAACGAATTTCTCTTAACTGGTGATAGTCAAAATCCCAACTGGAGAGCAATCCTCAGAAAACTTCAAATGTAAAATCACTCAGTTCAATTTAGATCTGTAATTGAAAAGAACATCAGATCCATATATCTAATTGCAACATTGTAATGCATACAAACACTCCGGGTAGCAATCTGAGAAGTAAACCCTTTTGACCTGGGTATTCTGTATACTAGATTTTTCTCATATCCTTTGTGTTACCAGTAAATCTTTATGGTCTTTCAGAATGTTACTATGTAACATATTATCAAAACATCTTTGAAGTTTTGCATCTCTTTATTTCCTTTGTGGTGTAGTGATTATACATCTTATATTCTGAGGGTGGACACAGACAAAATAGAATGTAATTCTTTTAAGAATGGGACAAATATTGTCCTAATCAAATTCAGAGTTCATTTAGTCAAAGAAGTAAAACTAAAACACCTATAAATCTTCTACAATGCTCTCTCGAGATAAGCAAAACAAACTCTTATTAATAAACTAAACTTCCTCTCATAGCCATTGTCTTTATATTCCTTTCCTGATTACCCTACTGGGTCTAGTTCCAAAGGAAACACTGGCATCAATCTAAGTACTTTCCTGACCCACTTCCTGAGAAAAGTCTTAACATTCCTAGATCCTAACTCTAATATCTGTGTATGTAGCTTTGTGTTTCTGTATGCAGTCTAGGTAGGTTCTTTTAATTTTCCAGACGCCTTCAAGCCCATTGGCTGTGGAAATGTTCACATTTGCCCTTAATCTACAACACAGTGTTTATGCTTGTGGTTACTGCAACATGAAGTAAATGTCTTTTCTGTTTAATTCCCAAAACACCTCTGACTCAGGGTCCCCAAAAGGAGGTATATAAAGAAATCAGAATATGAAAGGAAAATATCTTGGGCCCCCCAAATTGCTAAGAAAAACTCAAGGTGGAAAGTGCGGCAAACCTGCCTCCCATTCTATTCAAAGTGGTCCTTCAGCTCACTGAGTTAGAAGCATATCTGACCGCCTACTTTACAAAGGCTAACAAAGACACCTTCCCTTTCCTAACTGAACCAATGTGCTTCTCATATATATTGACTGACGTCTCATGTCTCCCTAAGATGTTCAAAACCAAGCGGTGCCTGACCACCTTGGGTGCATGTCATCACAACTTCCTGAGAATGTCATGGGTGCATCCTCAATCCTGGCAAAAATCAAGTTTCTAAATTAACATGACACCTGTCTAAGATTTCCTCATTCACAAGAACAACAGGTTTTTCAGGCTTTTTCATTTTCTCCTTTTGGTTGTACCTTAAAATTTATATTACATGAAGGCAGATTTATGACTCAGAAATATTTCCTGAAGAAAAAAAATTTATAAATTTTAGAGTATTTTATGTTTTACAAAATGTACAAATGCGTATGTACAACAGAATTATGTCCTGTTTATTTTCTTTAATTCAAAGTGTAGGTTATCTAAATAGTTTGGAAATGTGCCAAAATATAAGCTATAATATCAGAAGAAGAGAAGGATGGGTGTGATAGATGAAGAAGAAAAACTGTAAACTGTAGAATCCTGTTGGTGAGTATATGAATGTTTATAGAGGAAGTTTAAAATCCTTCTATTCCTCTGAACAGCTGGAAAACAATGTTAATGAGAAGGATGGGTGTGACAGATGAAGAAGAAAAACTAAACTGTAGAATCCTGTTGGTGAGTATATGAATGTTTACAGAGGAAGTTAAAAATCCTTCTATTCCTCTGAACAGCTGGAAAACAATTTTAATGAATGTTGGGGTCAAACAAAAGCTGTAGAGATCCCTGATGTAATAATGGTTCCCAATGGAGTGAGAGCATCAGTATCACTTGTGCCTGTCTTAGACTTTCCAGAGACTTGCCTTAGTAATTTATTTTTGAGACAGAGTCTCAATCTGTTGCCCAGGCTGGCGTGCAGTGGCAAGATCTCTCTGTCTCCCAGGTTCAAGCCATTCTCCTCCCTCAGCTTCCTGAATAGCTGGGATTACAGGTGTGAGCCACTGTACCCAGCTGGCCTTTGTAATTTTGAGAGCTCTAGTATTTGCGCAGTTATGTTAAGGATGACTACTTATTAATGTCCAGTCAATCATAATTTTGGGGTTTCCATATACACATAGTTTTTGAATCATATTTTCATTATAGGGATATTGATCAAAAAAGCCTACACCCAAATGAAGTTAAGCTACACCACCAATTCCATATTTAACACACACACACACACACACACAGTCACTCTCATAAAGGGAAGAAATCAAAGTAAATTTTATTTGAATACAGTTAACTTAAAAAGTAAGAGGCATTTACTGCTTTGTGAATTCTACTGCTTTGTTACTAGGAAAAACAATCATTTCCATAAAATAGGTGCAAACCAAATCTGAAGTCTGGCCAATACAAACTGATGTTCAACAACGTAATTCTATTACGTACCATGGCAACAGGCCCAACATTTTAACAAGCCTTTCAAGTATATTCTAAATTTCAGTGCTGCATCCAACTGGTTCAAACAAGATTCCTTTTTTCGTTTGAGACGGCGTTTCGCTTGTTACCCAGGCTGGAGTGCAATGGTGCGATCTCGGCTCACCGCAACCTCCACCTCCTGGATTCAGGCAATTCTCCTGCCTCAGCCTCCCGAGTAGCTGGGATTACAGGGACGCGCCACCATGCCCAGCTAATTTTTTTGTATTTTTAGTAGAGACGGGGTTTCATCATATTGACCGGGATGGTCTTGATCTCTTGACCTCGTGATCCACCCGCCTCGGCCTCCCGAAGTGCTGGGATTACAGGCATGAGCCCGTGCCCGGCCAAGATTCTTCTAAGAGACTAAGCATTTCTCTTGAGAGGACATGTTCTCAGAACTACGTGTTTAGAAACTCTTACTTTAATTATGATTGCCGACTGCCAAAGCTAAAATTGATTTTTGAAGAAAAGGATATTCCAAAGGATTGTAAAGTTTACAGATAATGCACAGATAAAACACCTATTAGGTTTATCTACTTACATTTTCAATGTCTTCATCATCATCTTCAGCATCAACAAACTGGATTTCATCATCATCTCCAGGACCAAATGTGTCTGTTTCACTGATTTCAGCTAAAGATAAAATAATATACTGATTATATAATCAAGATTTTGCCTGTAATCTCAGCACTCTGGGAGGCTGAGGTGGGGGATAACCTGAGGTCAAGAGTTTTGAGACCTGCCTGGCCAACATGGTGAAATCCCATCTCTACTGAAAAATAAAATAATAATTTCCTGGCTTGGTGGTGCACACCTGCAATACCAGCTACTTGGGAGTCTGAGCCAGGGAATAACTTAAACCTGGGAGGTGAGGTTTGCAGTGAGCTGAGATTGTGCCACTGCACTCCATCCTGGGTGACAGAATGAGACTCTGTTTAAAAAAAAAAAAAAAAAAAAAAAAAAGAACATATGTGCTGTATTTTTCCTTTCATTTTAAAAAGATAATTATAATGTTCACGTAGCACACATACAAAAGGTATTTTAAATACGGCAAATAGACTCTAATTATACTAACTAAACAGCTAAACATTTCCATGTAGCCTTCAAAAATGATTTGAGCTCAGGTTAACAACTTATCCTCAAAATATATAGTTATCTTGAAATTACAACAGCTACTTCACCAATTATTAAACAGATTTATCAAATCAGTGAAAAATACTTGGTTAAATCGTAATCATGGTTATCATTAAGCAACAAAGGTGAAAAAAGGAGGTGCTAGCTAAATTCCCAATTATTTCAGCAGTTCCTGAAATGCCAATAATTTCATCAGGATGTTGTTCATGTTTATGTAAAAATCTTATTTTCATAAGTTGCAATGTGATAAACAATGAAAACAGCTGCCTAGTAAAATACGTAGGCTTTAAAACAGTGCATATTCTCTTTGATGGTGTTATGAGGGACTTATTTTAATCTTGTCAAGTTTTGTGCAGTAAGCATGCATGATGTCTACCTTTAAGAAAAAGAAAACACAATTGTTTGTTAAAAATAATCCCACAGTTACAACTTTGGTAAGAGAAACTGAATACTTTTTTCTGTAAGATTCAAACATTACTATTATAATTGTTGCCTTTCCTTAAATGAAAACTGCCAATCTTTTAAGAATTGTTTAGAAAAAGTCTATACAAAATATATTCCTTTGAGAGATTATATACAAATCCAGAGCTTATGAATTAAAAAACTCATCATCAAAGGAAATTTCATAATTCAAAATCTCTTTATTAGAGGCTTCTATTTTTAAGTTCACACTGGCTTTATTTGAGATTTCCACTTATTAATATCTTTTCGAAAGTCTTAGAAGTATACTGAAGTATAGGCAAGACTACTTACCACAAATTTTGTACGTATACACTAAAATAGTATGTAAAACAGAATTCTACTAAAATCCCTTCACCTAAATTCCACAAACATTAATATGAAAGAACAAGTAGATATAATAATTTTGATATTACCATGTTCTGGAAGCTCGCCATATGCCTTCAGACTTCTAGCTTCATCTGCATTGTACTTGAAAATTACATCAGCTTTGCTATCCTGAGAAATAAACAAATAATGTTCAAAACTGCTTATACCAAAGTATCACCAGTTGTTTCACAATTTACTTTCAAATTAAAGACATCTAAAGAAAGGCCACATAATGTTTGTTACAAGTGGTCCTGCTTTTCTTTGCCTACCCGAATACCTTCTAGAAAAAATTGTTGAGTCTGAATAATTAGGAAGTGGTTTGTATTCATTGGTAAACAATAATTAATAGATTTGGAAAGATACATACAGATTTCATTAATAAAGCATAAGTGGCAAGCCCGGTCTTTTATATACTATTACCTTTTAATTAGAAGTCTCTTTGAAAAAACATGGAAGATGAATTTTAAAAAATTGCATTGTAAAACTCTTAGGTCAAAGATTACAATTTAAAACTTAAATGCATTAAGGAATAATGTTAAAAAAGTAATATAGTTTTCTATGAATCAGTAGTTCTTAGTATCAGAATTATCTATGGAACTTGAAAAACAGACAGCTAGAGTTTAAGAATAGATACCTACTTCCTTAAGACTGAAAGTAGACCTGCCCAGGATGTGGTACATAAATGTACATTTTTAAAAGCTCTTCTGGGTGGGTGTTTCTAATGCAACCATTGAAAAACACTCTCCTAAGATGTGAAAACACTTCCCCATTTAAAATTATTTTATCCAACTTGGGAGGAGAGGAATTCTGATTGCTTACAATTTGCAATCTAGATCTAAAAACTAAAGTGATCTGTCACAATGGCAGTAAAACCAAAACTTTTCAAACCATCATGTGCAAACAAGATTTTGTTAAACTGGTGACTCAAATAATATAATGGACATAAAAATAACATTTTAAAAGCACAGTACAATTTATATATATGTGTATACACACACACAAAAACATAGTCAATGTGCAATCAAATATATATTTAATATATATACATACACGCACAGACACACACACACACACACACACATCAATGTGTAATTAAGTCTATCAAAATAAATGCCTCCTTGCAGCAATTGTACAAATGGCAGCACAAGGATTTACTAAAATTTGTTTCTTCATGAAAGAAATTAGAATACTGACAAAATTGGTCAAAGTCCATAAATCAGTAATCTGAAAATTAACCAAATGAAGCAATAAACACTAAGGAGTGTTTATTCAAGAAAAACAGGTGAATCTCACTAAGAAAAAGTGGCTTTTTAAGTTTCCCCATTCCCATTTCTCATCTCAGTTTCATAAACACCAACAGCCTCTCAGCTACTGTACTGAAAAACACAGAACAAGTCTGAAGTTTCTTGTTAACTCTATTCTATAGGTAGTAGACTGCCAGTTCCTGGAAACTCCCATTTTAAGAGCTTTTCTTTCACTTAACTGATTCAGAACTTACTCACTTTGAATGCTTACCTCCCAAGGCTTTTGTAGAAAAAATAATCTGGCAGTAAAACCAAAACTTTTCAAACCATCATGTGCAAACAAGATTTTGTTAAACTGGTGACTCAAATAATATAATGGACATAAAAATAACATTTTAAAAAGCACAGTACAATTTATATATATATGTATATATTTTTAACATGTTTTAAGTGGCAATAACAGTCTGGATAAAAAAGAAAACTAACCAAAAACTTAGAAGAAAAAGCTATGTAAGAGATATGCATAGGAAATGTGTAAAGTCCAAAATACTTCTGCAAATCTAAAAGGCCAAATACAGGTTCACGACAATGCACATGATAAAGACACAGATATGAAAGACCTAATCTTACCCCTGACTGAAGTTAACATCCTGCACAGCATGAGATCAAGAATAAGGAAGAGGTGTCAGTTGACTGACACTGGTTGAATGTTGAAAGTATTACTCCACATGTTCAAGATTTCTCTTTGAATGCTCAATCCCTTAGTGGTTTTAATGAAATCTAAATTCAACATGAACTGCCTGTTAAACCAACCAACCATTCAATGGCCGAAGAATTAGTTCTGAAAAGTCACCAAACAAGCAGTAGTAACAAGAGCCCTGAGAAGTAGGAATCTGAGTTCCAGAACAGCTATGTGGTAGTTAAAATGTTCAGCTTTTGGGAGGAACTCAAGATGGCGCTGTGACAACAACCCAGGATTTCAGCTCTCTGTTAATCCGCGGAGAGGTGAGTCAAAGCTGCATTTTCAGACTGACCTTTGTTGCCCACAGAACGGGGAAATTCCCAAATATAAAGGAGACGCGGGAACCCAGGCAGAGGCTCTGCCTGGAAAAGCCGGCAGCCAGGGAAGTGGCAGCCGGCCGGCCCTACCCAGCGATCCCCACAGGGCACACTTGTCCGTGTGCCCTGTTGAAATGGCAACCTGAGACTTGAGAGGGCTGAACTTGAGACTGAAAGTGACTTGGGCAGTGGGCCAGCCCAGGGGATCGCAGGGACACAGCGTATGGGATAGCGCAGTGAGAAAGAAAAAATGGCGATTCCCACCATGGAGACCGTCCCTGAGGCGCTCCCTGGGGGAGGGGCATCCACCATTACCGAGGCAACCCGCCCAGACTGAGACACACGCCCACTGCTGATGCAGCCTGCAGTTGCCCAGGCAACCCGCCCCTACTGAGATACACGCCCACTGTTGATGCAGCCGGCCGTTGCCGAGGCAACCCACTACAACAGAGAGACTCCGCTGCAGGGCGTAGCCCATGGTGGAGAATGCAGCAGAACAGCAAGAGCCTGCAGCAACAGGGCAAGCCTCAGAACAGCAGGGCGGAGCCTCGGCAGTCAACTAGTGATTAGACTGCCTCTAGCTGGGCAGGACACCTCAACAGATATCCAAAAACAAAGCCCCAACGCCCCAAGACAGAGCATTTGAGAAAAAAAGGGTTTTTTTTTTAAATGAGCTCTGTTGCAGCAGAATCAAACATAGCAGCCTAACAGCCCTGAATGAACAACAGAGCTCACAGCTCAGCAATTGAGCTCCTATAGAGTACAGACTGTCTCCTCAAGCAGCTCTCTGACCCCTCTATATACAAAAGACTGACATTTGGCAGGCATCAACTGGGACGAATATAGCAGAAAAAGAAACTGGTAGCATCCCACACTGTTCCGCAGCTGCTATAGGTGTACTCCAGACAAGCAGGGCCTGGAGTGGACCTCAGCAGTCGTACAGCGAAGGGACTAGACTGGTAGAAGGAAAACCAAGTAACAGAAATACTTCATCACCAACAATCTGGGTGTCCACTAAGAGACCCAATCGAAAAGTCAGCAGCTACGCAGATGACAAGTGGATAAATCCACAAAGATGATGGGAAGAAACCAGCGCAAAAAGGAGGAAAAAACCCAAAACCAGAACACCTCACCTCCTAGAAAGAAACAAAATTCCTCACCAGCAAGGGAACAAAGCTGGACGGAGAATGACTGTGGTGAAATGACGGAATTAGACTTCAGAACATGCATAATGAGAAACTTCCATGAGCTAAAAGAACATGTTCTAAATCAATGCAAAGAAACTAAGAACCTTGAAAAAAGATTTGAGGAAATGATGACAAGAATGGATAACTTAGAGAGGAATAGGAATGAACTAAAGGAGCTGAAAAACACAATACGAGAACTTCACGAAGCATGCACAAGTTTCAATAGCCGAATTGACCAAGCAGAAGAAAGAATATCTGAAGTCGAAGATCAACTCAATGAAATAAAACGAGAAACCAAGATCAGAGAAAAAAGCGCAAAATGGAATGAACAAAGTCTCCAAGAAACTATGTGAAAAGGGACTATGTGAAAAGACCTAACCTACGTTTGATACAGAAGGGTACGGAGAATGAATCCAAACTGGAAAATACTCTTCAGGATATCATCCAGGAAAATTTACCCTACCTAGCAAGACAGGTGAACATTCAAATGCAGGAAATACAGAGAACACAACAACGATATTCCACAAGAAGAGCAACCCCAAGGCACAGAATCGTCAGATTCAACAAGGTTGAAAGGAAGGAGAAAATACTAAGGGCAGCCAGAGAGAAAGGTCAGGTCACCCACAAAGGGAAGCTCATCAGACTCACAGCAGATCTCTCGGCAATAACACTACAAGCCAGAAGAGAGTGGGGGCCAATATTCAACATTCTTAAAGAAAACAACTTTCAACCTAGAGTTTCATATCCAGCACAACTGAGCTTCAGAAGTGAAGGAAAAATAAAATCCTTTGTGAACAAGCAAGTACTCAGAGATTTTGTCACCACCAGGCCTGCTTTACAAGAGCTCCTGAAAGAGGCACTACACATACAAAGGAACAACCAGTAAGCAGTACCAGCCATACCAAAAATCACACTAAATGCTAAAGAGCATCAACATAATGAAGAATCTACATCAACTAACGGGAAAAACAGCCACTTAGAATCAAAATGGCAGTATCAAATTCACACATAACAATATTAACCCTAAATGTAAATGGACTAAATGCACCAATCAAAAGACACAGACTGGCAAATTAGATAAAAATCCAAAACCCATCAGTGTGCTGTATTCAGGAAACCCATCTCACATGCAAGGATACACAAAAACTCAAAATAAAAAGATGGAGGAAGATGGACCAAGCAAATGGAGAGCAAAAAAAAAAGCAAAAGTTGCAATTCTCATCTCTGATAAAATAGACTTTAAAGCGACAAAGATCAAAAGAGACAAAGAAGGCCATTACACAATGGCAAAAGGATCGATACAACAAGAGCTAACGATCCTAAACATATATGGACTCAATACAGGAGCACCCAGATACATAAGGCAAGTTCTTAATGACTTACAAAGAGACTTAGATTCCCACACAATAATAGTGGGAGACATTAGCACTCCACTGTCAATATTAGACAGATCAACAAGACAGAAAATCAACAAGATATCCAGGGCTTGAACTCAGACCTGGAGCAAGCAAACCTGATAGACATTTACAGAACTCTCCACACCAAATCCACAGAATATACATTTTTCTGAGCACCACATAACACCTACTCTAAAATTGACCACAGAATTGGAAGTAAAGCACTGCTCAGCAAATGCAAAACAACCCAAATCATAACAAACAGCCTCTCAGACCATAGTGCAATCAAGTTAGAACTCAGAATTCAGAAACCAATCCAGAACCGCACAGCTTCATGGAAACTGAACAACTGGCTCTTGAATGTTGACTGAGTAAACAATGAAATGAAGGCAGAAATAAAGAAGTTCTTCGAAACCAATGACAACGAAGACACAAAATGCCAGAATCTCTGGGACACATTTAAAGCAGTCTCTAGAGGAAAGTATATAGCAATAAGGCCCATATGAGGAGAATGGAGAGATCCAAAATGGACACCCTATCGTCAAAATTGAAAGAGCTAGAGGAGCAAGATCAAAAGAACTCTAAACCCAGCAGAAGACAAGAAATAACTAAGATCAGAGCTGAACTGAAGGAGATTGAGACACGAAAAACCCTTCAAAAAATCAATAAATCCAAGAGCTGGTTTTTTGAAAAGATCATCAAAATAGACATACCACTAGGCAGATTGATTACAGCTAAAAGAGAGAACAACCAAACAGATGCATTAAAAAATGATAAACGGGAAATCACGACAGACTCCACAGAAATTCAAACCATCATCAGAGAACATTACAAACAACTCTATGCACATAAACTAGTAAACCTGGAAGAAATAAATAAATTCCTGGACTCCTGTGTCCTCCCAAGCCTAAATAAGGAGGAAGCTGAAACTATGAATAGACCAATAACATGGTCAGAAGTCGAGGCAGCAATTAAGAGCCTACGACTCAAAAAAAGCAGGTCCAGACAAGTTCAAAGCCGAATTCTACCAGACACACAAAGAGGAGCTCGAACCATTCCTTCTAAAACTATTCCAAATAATCCAAAAAAAGGGAATCCTTCCCAAATCATTTTATGAGACCAACATCATCCTGATACCAAAACCCGGCAGAAACCCAACAAGAAAAGAAAACTTCAGGCCAATATCCATGATGGACATAGAGGCAAAAATCTTCAATAAAATATTGGCAAGCCGATTGCAACAGCAAATCAAAAAACTTATTCATCACAATCAAGTAGGAATCATCCCAGGGATGCAAGGCTGGTTCAACATACGCAAGTCTATAAACGTAATTCACCACATAAAAAGAACCAAAAACAAAATCCACATGATTATCTCAATTGATGCAGAGAAGGCATTTGACAAAACACAACAGCCCTTTATGCTAAAAACCCTCAATAAACTCGGTATCGATGGAACGTATCTCAAAGTAATAAAAGCTATTTATGACAAACCAACAGACAATATCATACTGAATGGGCAAAAACTGGAAGCATTCCCTTTGAAATCTGGCACTAGACAAGGATGCCCTCTCTCACCACTCCTATTCAATATAGTACTGGAAGTTCTAGCCAGAGCAATCAGGCAAGAAAAAGAAATAAAGGGTATTCAAATAGAAAAGGTGGAAGCCAAATTGTCTCTATTTGCAGACGGCATGATAGTATACCTAGAAGACCCCATCGCCTCAGCCCAAAAACTCCTGAAACTGATAAGCAACTTCAGCAAAGTCTCAGGATATACAATCAATGTGTAAAAATCACAAGCATACGTCTACCCCAATAACAAACTTAAAGAAAGCCAAATCAAGAACGAACTGCCATTCACAATTGCTACAAAAAGAATAAAATACCTTGGAATACAACTCACAAGGAACATAAGAGACCTCTTCAAGGAGAACTACAAGCCACTGCTCAACGAAATCAGAGAGGACACAAACAGATGGAGAAACAGTCCATTGTTCATGGTTAGGAAGAATTAATATCGTGAAAATGGCTATACTGCCCAAAGTAATTTACAGAATCAACGCTATCCCCATCAAGCTACCATTGACTTTCTTCACAGAGCTGGAAAAAACCACCATGAACTTCATATGGAACCAGAAGAGAGGCCGCATAGCCAAGTCAATTCTAAGCAAAAAGAACACAGCGGGGGGAATCACACTACCGGATTTCAAACTATACTACAAGGCTACAGTAATCAAAACAGCATGGTAACGGTACCAACACAAAGATATAGACATATGGAACAACACAGAGGCACCGGAGAAAACACAACATATCTACAACTAGACAATCTTTGATAAACCTGACAAAAACAAGGAATGAGGAAAGGATTCCCTGTTTAACAAATGGTGTTGGGAAAACTGGCTAGCCATGTGCAGAAAGCAGAAACTGGACCCCTTCCTGACACCTTACACTAAAATTAACTCCAGATGGATTAAAGACTTAAACACACGACCTGGCACCATAAAAACCCTAGAAGGAAATCTAGGCAAAACTATCCAGGACATAGGAGTAGGCAAGGACTTCATGAACAAAACACCAAAAGCATTGGCAACAAAAGCCAAAATAGAAAAATGGGACCTAATCAAACTCCACAGCTTCTGCATGGCAAAAGAAACAGTCACTAGAGTGGATCGGCAACCAACAGAATGGGAACAAATTTTTGCAGTCTACCCATCTGACAAAGGGCTGATATCCTTTTGAATTTACAAAGAACTCAAACAGATTTACAAGAAAAAAACAAACAAGCCCATTCAAAAGTGGGCAAAGGATATGAACAGACACTTTATGAAAGAAGACATATATGCGGCCAACAATCATATGAAAAAATGCTCATCGTCACTGGTCATCAGAGAGATGCAAATCAAAACCACATTGAGATACCATCTCATGCCAGTTAGAATGGCAATCATTAAAAAATCTGGAGACAGCAGATGCTGGAGAGGATGTGGAGAAAAAGGAACACTTTTACACTGTTGGTGGGAGTGTAAATTAGTCTAACCATTGTGGAAGACAGTGTGGCGATTCCTCAAGGCCTTAGAAATAGAAATTCCATTTGACCCAGCAATCCCATTACTGGGTATATACCCAAAGGACTATAAATCATTCTACTATAAGGACACATGCACACGAATGTGTATTGCTGCACTGTTTACAACAGCAAAGACCTGGAATCAACCCAAATGCCCATCGATGATAGACTGGATTGGGAAAATGTGGCACATATACACCATGGAATATTATGCAGCAATCAGAAATGATGAGTTCGTGTCGTTTGCAGGGACATGGATGAATCTGGAGAACATCATTCTCAGCAAACTGACACAAGAACAGAAAATGAAACACCGCATATTCTCACTCATAGGCAGGTGATGAAAAATGAAAACACATGGACACAGAGAGGGGAGTACTAAACACTGGGGTCTATTGCGGGGAAAAGGGGAGGGCCAGTGGGAGGTGGGAGGGGGAGTTGGGGAGGGATAGCCTGGGGAGAAACGCCAAATGTGGGTGAAGGGGTGAAAGCAAACAGAACACACTGCCATGTGTGTACCTATGCAACTGTATTGCATGCTCTGCACATGTACCCCAAAACCTAAAATGCAATAAAAAAAGAAAAAAATAAGAAAAAAAAATAATAAAATAAAATAAGATGTTCAGTTTTTAAGAAATAAATTAAGATACCTAAAAAGGTGGACAGAAGACTTTAACACTAGCAAGCAACTAGACTTAACAGATGACTACACGAAACTCCAACCAGTAGCAAGAGAATAAGAATCCAGACATAGCAGTAATTTTAATGTGGTTAAGCAATGGTAATAAGTTCCATGGGCAGTAATCAAATGGATTTTATAGACCTATGACATGTAAATAGTTTCAAGGTTAGAGATAAATGGCTACTCCTGTCTTTGTTCTATACTGCTCCTCTTAAAATTAAAGCAAATACAACAGTCTGTACTGTAACTTGTGTGCATGCGTAACTTTATACTACAAAACCAAAAAACTCTTAGAGGAGAACTGACTTATTCAACAGCATCATCTCGACTTGCGGTTTCCCAACTAAGTTTCAAAATATTAAAATAATATTAAGAACATGAGTCTCCAAAATTATTAAATTTTGCTTTGACATATCAGGATACTAATAAAAAATTACTACCTATATACTATCATTCTCATTTTTAAAAATATTAAAAACATATTTAAAAACAAAAAATTGTGTTCCATGAAAAACAACTACATATCTTCTAATATGACTTCAAAGCACTGAAATTCAGCCTACTCCAATACTATTTCATGTCTGAAATGCCTAGCTGAATGCCTCAAACACCACTAGCGTTTAAAAGGATGACGACAGAATGGTCTACTTGTCCGAACCTGCAAGAAAATATTTACTACACACGGTATTAATAATAAAATCAAAGAATTAAAACAAATTATATCTTTCCACAAAATACATGTACCATTAACTATCTGTGCAAATTATTCTGAATTTGAAAAATTTTACAGTCTTAAACACAACTGGCCCTAAATAATGATGCTGGCAGAACCCTGAGAAAGTATACGGGGCTGGAACAAGTTAAAGATGCTAGTTGGTATCTTCTAAACATCAACGACTACTTTTAAAGACACAACACATACTTAGATGTTATTTTTACCTGATAGTCTCGTAGACCAACCAATATAATGTCTGAAGTATTTATCCAAACCTGTAAGAAATTTATGCAGATTATTTTAAAAATAAAAGCAAATAAGAAGGAGAATGTTTAGTGAATCTTCCCATAAAACGGATACGCTATTCACCTAATGTGAAAAAAAATAAAATTAAGACTTTGATGCCAGGCCAGGTGTCTCATGCCTATAATCCCAGCACTTTGGGACGCTAAGGCAGGAGGATCACCTGAGCACAGGAGTTTGACACCAAAACTAGAAAACATAGAGATGCCTAGACTGTACAAAGAGTCAAAAAATTTCAAAAAGTTGGGTGTAGTAGCACATGCCTGCAGTTACTTTAGAAGGCTGATATGGGAGAACTACTTGAGGTGGAGGCTGCAGTTGAGTGATGACTATGCCACTGTACTCCAGCCTAGAGCACAGAGATCCTGTCTCATAAAATTGGGAAAAAAAACCTGTAACATATATACATAGTATAGTGGTATGTAGCACATAGTTAAGGTCTGGCATGGAAAAAATTACAGTACCAATTGAGTTTGTTAAAATTTTCTTTCTTAGAATGTTAAAAATCATAACAATTTTATTCCAATTACTCAAGAATTTAGAATTCCAGATAATCCTTTGTGGTAGAAATTCAGACATGCAATTGTATCTAAACAAAATGTTTCTAACAAACATTTGTATCTAAACAACAAACAAGATGTATCTAAACAAAATGATTCTAAAGCACCCAATCTACATAAATATAGCCTCTGCTATTGCCTTAACGTTTGTATTCCTCAAGATTTATGTCGAAATTTGAATCCCATGGTACTAGGAGGTTGGGCCTTTGGGAGGTGATTATGTAATGAGGGCTGATCCCTGATGAATGGGATTTTTGCCCTTATAAAAGAGGCCCAAGGGAGCTCATTCATCTCTTCTAAAATATGTGGAGAATGCAGAAGGCACCACATATGAATGAGAAAATGGGTCATCACCAATATTAAATGGATTTCTCTTTCTCCAGAGCTATGAGAAATAAAATTTCTGTTGTTTATAATCTACCCAGTCAAAGGTACTTTGTGATGGTAGCCCAAACGGACTAAGAGAACCCATAAAAGTGCCACTAATTTGGAAATGAAAGCATGTGAACACACCAAATAGATTCTATTTTCTTCTTTTTGAGATAGAAACTCTCACTCTGTCACCCAAACTGAAGTGCATTAGCAGAATTCTTAGCTCATGGCAACCTTGCGCTCCGGGGTTCAAGCAATCATCCTGCCTTAAGCCTCCTGAGGAGATGGAACTATAGGTATATGCTGGATAGGTATATGCTGGCTAATACTTGTAGAGAGCTCAGCCAAAATAAAGTTTTTATTATTTTAATTATAAAATTTAAGTACCACAGACTTTTAATCAATTTGATTTATAAAACTACCTGATATGGTATTGTAACAAATCTGCTGTCTACCATTTCATATTCCAATTTTCCTCATACCACCTACAACTATTTCAACCAAGACAAAACCTAATGAAGGAATATGCAGCAATTAGTCTCTTTTAATGTAAATTCCCACATTTTTTATTGTTTCAAAGTATTAACATTTGAGTCAAGACGATTTGTATTATATATTAAAACATGTGATTTAGTCAATACTAACATCAGAGTAAACACTTCTGGCAGGAATACAACAGAAGTCAAACAAAGGAATTATTCTTTAAAAGTAAATCTAAAAGTTATCAAAGACCTTTTCTGTTTATTCTTATTGTCATGAGTCACGTTTGTATAAATTATTTTGAGAACTCAAATTGCTTAGACCATGTATTTAAAGCAGAGACTTTTTTAAATTGAAGTAAAAGAAATCTACACACCTACCTTTTTTCTCAATTTTCCTCGGATATGGCATAACCTCTTTACACCATCAAAACACAATGCTTCCAATCGTCCATTCCCCAGCATTTTAATTACCTGAGCATACTCTGAGAAGAGGAGAGTAAAACAAGGGTGAGATCCTATTCAGCGTTTGTTAAAATGTAATGAGTGAAATTTAGCTGTTTGGTTGGGCATGGTGGCTCACACTCGTAAACCCAGCAATTTGGGCGGCAGCCAAGGCTGGTGAATCTCCTGAGGTCAGGAGTTCAAGACTAGTTTAGCTAACATGGGGAAACCCCATCTCTACTAAACACACAAAAATCAGTTGGCTGTGGTAGTTGGTGCCTGTAATCCCAGGTACTCAGGAGGCTCACGTAGGAGAATGGCTTGAACACAGGAGGCAGAGGTTTCAGTGGGGCTGAGATTATGCCACTGTATGCCAGCCTGGGTAAAACACCACCTCAAAACAAAACTAAAACAAAAAACAGAAGAAAATTATCTGTTAATAAAAGCTCCACTAACTGCTAAATCAGATCAAACTACAAAGAAAAACAGAATAAAACAAACAGCAAAAAGTTTAAGAAATTCATTCAGACAGTCCTATTTCAAAATGTCACATATTATGGTAGGGAAACCGGAGTCCCAGCTATGCATATTTACTTTAACACCTTTATTTTTAGAATAAATAAAAGCCTAAGTCAAGTAACTTGTTTAGTGTTACAAACGCCATTTCCATGACAAGCTATATCCGTTAGTAGAGGCATTTTAACTACCTACCCATTCTGAATATGTCAACAGTTGTTTTTCACGATTGTACACTTTAGTTTGGAACATCGAAGTGGCTCATTTCATAATATACACTATAACCCTTCATCAGTCTCCCCACATGAGCCCTAACTCAATCTTCACCATCCTTAATCTCAGAAATGACTGAGACAAATTATAGCAGTATAGCCTAACTATTAAAAATTCCCATTTACTTTAGACTATCTCAGTGATTATTCTTAAGTTCTTGAATCTTGAAAAATGGGAGTGACATTCCTAAGTAAAATGTAACACGTTTATGGGAAATACTTTCAAAAGTGCCCTGATTCCACTGCTACTAGAAAGTACTCTTATAAGAATATGAGCATTAGCCAGTACAGCCATTCTCTTCTAAGAGGCAGGAAAGAGAAAAAAACAAACAAAGGAAATAGAGGGAAACAGACAATTCCAAAATTTTCACACTAATAAGGTTTCTTCTTAGAACTATCCAAGAGAAGACCAGGCGTGGTGGCTCACGCCTGTAATCCCAGCACTTTGGGAGACCGAGGTGGGTAGATGATGAGGTCAAGAGATCGAGACCATCCTGGACAACATGGTGAAACCCCGTCTCTACTCTAAAAATACAAAAAATTAGCTGGGCATGGTGGTGCATGCCTGTAATCCCAGCTACTCAGAAGGCCGAGGCAGGAGAACACAGGAGAATTGCCTGAACCAGGTGGCAGAGGTTGTGGTGAGCCGAGATCACACCATTGCACTCCAGCCAGGGTAAGGAGCAGAACTTCGTCTCAAAAAAAAAAAAAAAAAAAAGAACTATCCAAGAGAATGTCGACTAACACATAATTACATTTAAGAGATAAATTTATAAAGCTACATTGAGAGGTTGTTATATATGTGGCAACTGAGTTCATTTTACAGAAGTCGGTGAGCCCAGCTTATCATTAAGCACTTCTGCAACATGGATAAAAATAACAATAAAATAAGAACAAATGGAAATTAAAAACCTGGTCCTGAAAGTACAGTCAATATCTATTAGAAATGAAAGATGATAGCTAAATAGGTGTCTTTTGCCAGAAAATAAGTTTCATATAATTAAAACATGTTAACTTTTTAGTGGCTTCTATCTAGAATATAAAAGACTAACAAAAATTCAACATAGAAACATACATAGTTTTTGTCATAAATATTAAATAATGTATTTATGCTGAAAATAATTAAACGTGGAGAAATTTGAATATAGATTATCTAAGAGATTAGGACTCTTCACAAAATGTCCTGTTAGGGAACTATTAAACTGTAAGCTAATCTAAACAGTCATATGTAGTTAGTGGTACCTATTTGAAACAGCATAGTATAAAAGTTAAAAACAATATAACATTAAAGTTAAATTTGTTGCAATAATTCTACTGTAGTTAGAGAAAGAAATGTGCTTCATCTTAGAAGATATACATTGAAGTATTTAGGTCTGAGGCCTGTAAATTCATGTTACTAGTTATCTGTATAGAAAATCAAAATGGTCAGAAAAATGTGTAAACATGCAGAAATGCAAAGATAGAAATAAACGATGTAAAGGTTAAAAACTAGTAAATTCAGGTGAGGAATATTTACAATTTTGTTGTGTACTAATATTTCAAATTTTTCCTATGTTCATTATTTTAAAAAGAAAAAATGAAGACAAAATCAAATGCACCAATGAATTTATTTTGTTCTTTTGTATCTCCTTTTATCAATCCAGTGGGGTTAGTCAATTATTAAAACTGTATTACAGGCTGGGCATGGTGGCTCACACTGTAATCCCAGCACTTTGGGAGGCAAAGACGGGTAGATCACGAGGTCAAGAGATCAAGACCAACCTAGCCAACACAGTGAAACCCCAACTCTACTAAAATACAAAAATTGGCTGGGTGTGGTGGCTCACGCCTGCAGTGCCAACTACTGAGAGGCAGAGGCAGGAGAACTGCTTGAACCCAGAAGGTGGAGGTTGCAGGGGGACAAGATTCTGCCACTGCACTCCAGCCTGGCACCTGGTGAGAAAACAAGACCATTAAAAAAAAAAAAATATATATATATATATATATATATATAGTATTACATTTTATGATTAAGTACTAGTGGCAGTGAAGCACTTGGGGTTCAAAAAGGTTTTATGATTTTTATCCTAAAAAATACCCATGGTCTACTAATAGTGTATGACATTACGCATTAACAACATATGAAATATTTAATCATCACAGTCTATGCTTAATTTGCTCTAAACTTTTTTTTTGTTTCGAGCAGGGTCTTGGTCTGTCACCCAGGCTGAATACGGTCATGCCCTCACAGCTCCCTGCACCCTTAACCTCCTGGGTTTAAGCCCTCCTCTCCCCTAATCCCGCGGAGTACCTCGGACTCCTGTCGTGTACTACTATGCCTCATTATTATTATTACTATTTTTGTAGAGACAGGGTTCTGCCCTATTGCTCCCAGCTTTAAGCAAGTGAAACACTTCACTTCCCAAAAGGCTGGGATTACAGCAATCAGTTAGATTGTATTCCTCCACGCTAAACAATGAAACTGTGTTTGCAAAAATGCTCTCAATGAATCCTCTATCCAGACTTAATATAGCCTAGAAATTATTATTTAATAAACAAATTCTAGATAAATGTGGATGATGAGAAATGACAACAGGAAAAATGGAAACATAGGACAACTGCTTAGCATAATGACTAAGACTCCTTTAAGAAAAAGACAGAAAATTATACTCATGGCAACAATGAAACATGTTAATAAAAGAAGCCTAACTTAAAGTCTTACCTTGTCCATCCTCTTTAAACACCAACTCTCTTTTTTCAGATTCCTTCTCATTCTTACCCCTGCGCCTGGTTTTACCTCCTTTACCTAATTAATTTAAAAAGAAGATAAAAAATTCACTGTAAAAATCTACATATTATATACATTAAACTATAATACAAAAGAAGACTTTTGAAGTTTGCTTTTGAAACCACTTGCAGGAAAATTGAAAATGTGTCATTTAAACAGATTTATTATCTGTTTAAATGTATTTACATTACAACATTAACATTACAGAATTAACAGGACTTGTCAGAGTTCTCTTTAAGTCTTTTACCAGGTACATATCAATACTATCCTCTTGGACATTTGTTTGGATACTTCTGAGATAAATGTACATCTTATGTAAAACTGTATGAAAAGAAACATTTTATTACTCAAGAACTATTGTGAAGATGTTGTTCATGCTTTCCAAATAAAAACAGGACTCTATTCATTTTCTTCTATAGCATCTTTTAACTCTACTCAATAATTAGTCCTGAGTATCTTTCCATTACAATAGCTGCAGACCTGGGCCAACATTTTAACTGTTAAAGTATATTAATGCTGTATCTTGATTTCTTCAATGTTTCACTATTATGACACAATGCTGCATTGAAGGTTGTCTGCAAACAACCTTCATAAGGTAAATGAACACAAGGAGAATTTCTGAGTTAAAAGTTTACAAATTCACTTCCTTACTCTTTAGATCAACTATTTCAACTGCCATCACATTTCTTTCCATTTTTATATTTTCGCTTATTGCTAGACACATAAGCGAAAGGATTTTCTATTGAATCACCAAGGAATTGGGGTAATTTTCCGTAACATTTTGTCCCCATTACCGAATGTTAATGAAAATAGCAGTGGTTTCCAAAAGGAGGGTTAAAGACCGCAAATCAAGTAATATTAAAGGATCGATGGAAGAATCTGAATAAAAAAGATAACACTGCAAATAAAATAAAATTTACATACTTGACCACTGTAAACTCAGACATCTAATTCTTGAATGCATCCAATACCTCAGGGGCAGTTACAGTACTGTGTGCCACTATAAATCAAAGTGACTCGTCTACATTTTGATCCATTCTTAGCACACACCAAAACTAAATTTCTAAAAGAAAAACACGTTCTATATTTTGAGTCATTAATCTTGCCTGAACTTAGCGGTGTCAGGACAAGGATCATACCTGCTTTGCTTACTGAGTTTTACAAAAGTTTGGCAGCTTTTCAAATGACTAAATAATGCTTAGTTCAAGTTCTAAAAGAATGGCAACTTTTAAATTGCATATCGCAATCTCAAAGGTGGAGGCACCTTGGTCTATCTCTTCAGGAGTAGGCCAAAGGCTGCCCGTTTCCCGATGTGAGGATTGGTTTCTAAGACTTCGGAACCAGCTGAATGAGTGCAAAGAAAAAGTCACACTACATATGGCCCATGCTCATTTACATGTTTACTTGGATAAACCTCATCACAATATTAACAGGCATCTGGATTTTCAGATAAAAAAGAACAACAACAAGAAAACCAAATTAGCAACTTTTATTTCTACATTAGTAAGTCTAATAAAATACGGGTCTTCCGCAGTATCCTTCAACGAATAAGCCCAGCAGATAACATCGATTTTACATAATAACAAAAACATTCCATTTAGGATGGGGATTATCTCAAGAAGAAAAAATGGGGAGTGGTGGCAGAGGACTTTATGAATCTGTGCTGTAATTCTTAGACATATCTTTCTTTTAAGTGCCTCACATATGATTTAAAAAAAAAACTGTTCTCAGTCTACCATAATTAACCAAACCCTTATGATTCTCCTTTTATTGTAATGTCGTGCAATAGAATTCACTATCTTTTAAGAGAATGAGACTAGGCATGCACATACCACAATTAATTAAAGTCGTTTAATATTCTTTTTTAATCTTCCTTTCTAAGAACAAAAAATCCACACCTCCTACTTAAACAATTTAGATGTGTTTTGGAGATACTCTTTCTAATGAGAATATTCTTAGGCATCATTCAGTGTAAAAGTTCTACCCTACAAGAACAAAGCAAGCCTTACTATTTAAGGAATGGTGTCAGGTACAGGTACAGTAACATCAACAAAGATTTATTGGACACTTTGCAAGGGATACTGTGATCTTTAGTTGATAGCTTATTTAAGAGAACTGTGAATCTCATCAACAGAAATAAAGGTGGAAACAAGATAACTACTGAAGTTGTTCAGTGCTATCTGAAAAATAAGTTCACTTACAACTTAAAAAGTGGGAGGCCTAACCTCTCCTTAGGCCTCCCACTTTATAATTGTAAGTAAACTTACATTCAAGTCTAAGCTTGGTGTGAAAATTTAGCCGCAGAATGAAGGTAACCTTTATGTCTTTATTCCCACAATATTTAATTTATTTGATAAGGAAGTTGAAAACTTGCCTAAATATGTAACACATCTTCTGCAAAAGAATGATCAACTTTTTTAAAGAGCTGGGGCAGAGTAAAACGCCAGAGATGAACCTAAACATGTTTCAAGGTTTCCTCACCGTTTAACACAAAAAAGGGAATATCCTTAACAACACTTTTAACTGTCCGGATAGTCTTCAAAATGAATAACTGCTTCAGGAAAGTAGCAGGGAAGTTGGTAGGAACCTATACTTGAAGGCCAGGCCTTCCGGATAAGGTCCCTCAATCGTCTCTTCCTATACACGGTAAGTCTGGTATGAATCAGTCTCAAAAGCCCACGATCCTCCGAAGGCCTCATAAACATGGCGGCTGTCCCACCCCAATGTGACCAAACTGAGTGTTCCCAGCGTCTTTCCCTAACACATAAGAAGGGGCGCGGCGCCCAATACCCGCGGGAAGAACCGTCACTGCGACCTGGAACAGACGTCGAGATTAATGGCAGAGCAGGGGCAGAGGTACAGTCCCAGAGGCCTGCAGGATTACCTTTATTCTTGGGCATGCTGGTGTTAAGGGCCTCGTGTGACCTCTTCCGACTCCTTTCTGGCGGTTACTACTCCACAGCAGCCTGAACTAAGATGTCGCAGACGGGCGCGTCGAAGAGACTGGCTACTGAGCTCTGTAACACACTTCAGACGGGCACTTTATGACGCCAGCAAAAGGCGACGAAACTAATTACGATACTTCCCCCGCCCCCAACCGCTTCTCTATGTCGGAGGCGTGGCCAAATGACTGACGTAGTAGATCAAGTCAATAAGAAAGAGTTTGGTCCACGAAAAAACTCGGGGCGGGGCGGGACTAGACTCAGCATGGAGAAGGCGGAGTCAGGAACGGAAGGAGCGGGGTGGTGGGGTCTACCGCTTTGTAAAAAAAAACCGTCTTCGGGCTGGCTGCGGTGGCTGACGCCTGTAATCCCAGCACTTTGGGAGGCCTAGACGGGTGGATCACGAGGTCATCGGTCAAGAGATCAAGACCATGGTGAAACTCCGTCTCTACTAAAAAATACAAAATTATCTTGGTGTGGTGGCGCGCGCCTGTAGTCCCAGCTACTCGGGAGGCTGAGGCAGGAGAATTGCTTGAACCTGGGAGGCAGAGGTTGCAGTGAGCCGAGATCGCGCCACTGCACTCCAGCCTGGCGAAACAGCAAAACGCTGTCTCAAAAATAAATAAATAAATAATAAAAAAAAACAACCATCTTTCCGGGTCTGGAGCTGTGGCTCACTGCCATAATCCCAGCACTTTGGGAGGCCGAGGCTAGCGGATCACGAGGTCAGGAGATGGAGATCATCGTAGCCAACGTAGTGAAACCCGGTCTCTACTAAATTAAAAAAAAAAAAATTACCTGGGCGTGATGGCACATGCCTGTATTCCCAGCTACTCAGGAGGCTGAGGCAGGAGAATAGCTTGAACCCAGGAGGCGGAGTTTGCCGTAAACCGAGATCGCCCCTCTGCCCTACATTATGCGTGACAGTGAAAGACTCCGTGTCCGTGTCAAACAAACAAACAACAGTCTTCCAGTTTCACAACTTACTGTGGCATTTACCTATAACCTCCTAAAACAAGTCCTTGCTCTTATACAATGAGATTGGAGGACTGGTGAAGGACAAGGACCCCTATGTTCCGAATGATTATTACTTTTCTCCATCTTTTTTTTTTTTTTTTTTTTTTTTTTCTTGAGACAGTTTTGCTCTGTTTGCCCAGGCTGGAGTGCAGTGGCCAGATCTCGGTTCGCTGGAAGATCCTTCTTTTGGTTTCAAGCGATTCTCTTACCTCAGCCTCCACAGTAACTGGGATTACAGACGCTGGTCACCACGCCCGGCTAATTTTTGTGTATTTAGTAGACAAAATGGGTTTTCACCATATTGGCCAGGCTGGTCTCGAACTCCTGACCTCGTGATCTGCCGGGGCCTCCCAAAGTGCTGGGATTATAGCATGAGCCACCACCCGCGGCCTACTTTTCTCTATCTCTGTCTTCTCTATCTCACCATAAACCATATCAGTACAGACACCAGATCTGTTGCCTAAGCCTCTGAATTTTGCAGTATATCATGACTTAACCAAATGTCTCAAATGGACTGGCTGTGGTGGTCAAATTATTTCAGGAAAAATTCCACTGGGTTATGGTATTCGATCATTTAGTTAACTGTATTTGTTGTACTACTATTATGTTTAGAATGTTGGCATCTGTGTTAAGATATATCAGTTTGTAGTTTCTTGTGATGACTGGGTCTAGGATAAATAAAATCCTGGCTTCATAGAATTAATTACATAGTGTCCCTTTTTCCCTGTGTTTTTGCACAAATTTGAGTATTGAGGTAAGTTATTTAAATGGTGGTAGGATTTAATTTTGATTATTAATTTATAATGTATTTATTCCTAAGTCAGTTTTGGTAGTTTGTATCAGGAATTTCTTCATTTATTCTAAATTATCTAACTTGTTGGGCGTATACTTGGCCATAATATAGATAGTATAGTAGCCTCTTAATCCTTTTGTTTCTTTCATTGTGCAAGATAAGTCACAGTACTCCAATTATCAGGCACTCAAAACCAGTCTATGAAAGTAGCCACAGGGGTTGTTCACTACAAAGCCCCAGGGGCAGAGTTGGCCAAATCTGTGGGAGCTCACCCTTAGTATCATGAGTATGCCCTGGGTGTAAGCATAGAGTCAAATGAGGTTTTGGAGCTTTATGATTTAATGACTGCCTGGCCACGTTTCATACTTGCCTGAGGCTTGTGTCCTCTTTGCTTGGCCGATTTCTTTTATTTTAAATGGTAACATTTATCCAATGCCTGTATTACTATTGTATTTTGAAAGTAACTAACTTGCTTTTAATTTTCCAGGCTCATAGGCGAAAGGAACTTCCCCTTTCTCAGATGAAACTTTACACTTGGACTTCTGCATCAATGTCAAACTGAGTTAAGGCTTTGGGTGACTGTTGGGAAGGCATTACTGGTTTTCAATATGATAAAGACATGAGAAATAGGAGGAATTAGGAGATATAGTTTGGCTCTGTGTTCCCACTAAAATATCATCTCCAATTTTAATCCCCACGTTTTGAGAGAGGGACCAGATTGAGGGTGATACGGTCATGGGGGCAGTTTGTCCTGTGCTGTTCTCATGATACTGAGGTAGTACTCATGAGAGATGATAGTTTTAAAAGCGTTTGGATTTCTTCCTTTGCTTCTTTCCTACCACCATGTAGGATGTGCCTTGCCTCCCCTACATCTTACAGCATAATTGTAAGTTCCCTGAGTCCTCCTCAGCCATGCAAAACTGTGAGTCAATTAAAACCCTTTTCTTTGTAAATTACTTAATCTGAGGTAGTATATTTATAACATTGTGAGAACAGACTAATGCAGTTATAAAGCTGACAAAAGGCTTATCTAGTTTTCAGAAAGATTTACATACTTTTAAAGAAAGGAAGAGCAGGCCGGGCGCGGTGGCTCAAGCCTGTAATTCCAGCACTTTGGGAGGCCCAGGTGGGTGATCACGAGGTCAAGAGATCGAGACCACCTTGGTCAACATGGTGAAACCCGTCTCTACTAAAAATACAAAAAATTAGCTGGGCATGGTGGCGCGTGCCTGTAATCCCAGCTACTCGGGAGGCTTGAGCAGGAGAATTGCCTGAACCCAGGAGGCGGAGGTTGCGGGGAGCCGAGATCGCACCACTGCACTCCAGCCTGGGTAACAAGAGCAAAACTCCGTGTCAAAAAAAAAAAAAAAAAAAAAGAAAGGAAAAGCAATTACAATTTTCTAAAGCAAATGTTCTGAGAAAAGGGAGAGCCACTGAGGGAATTATTTATTATATTATTTTTAATTTGTATTTGTCCTCACACTGGCTAAAGGTTTGTTACTCTTGTAAATCTTTTCAAATAATAAATTTGGTTTTGTTTATTATATTGTTTCCCTATTTTCTTTTTTTTTTTAATTGCATTTTAGGTTATGGGGTACATGTGCACAATACAGTTGCATAGGTACACACAGGGCAGTGTGTTTTGTTTGCTTTCTCCCCTTCACCCACATTTGGTATTTCTCCCCTGGCAATCCCTCCCCAACTCCCCCTCCCACTGGCCCTCCCCTTTTCCCCCTATAGACCCCAGTGTTTAGTACTCCCCTCTCTGTGTCCATGTGTTCTCATTTTTCATCACCCGCCTATGAGTGAGAATATGCGGTGTTTCATTTTCTGTTCTTGTGTCAGTTTGCTGAGAATGATGTTCTCCAGATTCATCCATGTCCCTATAAACGACACGAACTCATCATTTCTGATTGCTGCATAATATTCCATGGTGTATATGTGCCTCATTTTCCCAATCCAGTCTATTATCAATGGACATTTGGGTTGATTCCAGGTCTTTGCTATTGTAAACAGTGCTGCAATGAACATACGTGTGCATGTGTCCTTATAGTAGAACGATTTATAGTCTTTTGGATATATACCAACTCATCATTTCTGATTGCTGCATAATATTCCATGGTGTATATGTGCCTCATTTTCCCAATCCAGTCTATTATCAATGGACATTTGGGTGATTCCAGGTCTTTGCTATTGTAAACAGTGCTGCAATGAACATACGTGTGCATGTGTCCTTATAGTAGAACGATTTATAGTCTTTTGGATATATACCCAGTAATGGGATTGCTGGGTCAAATGGAATTTCTATTTCTAAGGCCTTGAGGAATCGCCCACACTGTCTTCCACAATGGTTGAACTAATTTACACTCCCACCAACAATGTAAAAGTGTTCCTTTTTCTCCACATCCTCTCCAGCATCTGTTGTCTCCAGATTTTTTTAATGATCGCCATTCTAACTGGCGTGAGATGGTATCTCAATGTGGTTTTGATTTGCGTCTCTCTGATGACCAGTGACGATGAGCCTTTTTTCATATGATTGTTGGCCCTCGTATATGTCTTCTTTTGTAAAGTGTCTGTTCATATCCTATGCCACTTTTTAAATGGGCTTTTTTTT